TAGGAAATAAAACCCTAAAATTATTCACATGATGCATAATGAATCAGAGTTTTTTTCTTTCTGAACTGAATGACAAAACCCCCCTATAGTATTCTTATTTTGTGTGGAGGAAGAGAGAAAGAAATGTCCCTCAACAAATTGATACCAGTGTGGACCTACATCTTTTGGACACAGCTAGTTCCCCACTGTGTGCGAGGGGACCAGGTGGCTGAATATAGTTCAAGTCTCCAGGGTGGATAGTGGAGGAGAGAGAGGAGTTTGTAGGACAGCAATCTACTTTCAGTGGCCCAGTTAGGAAAAAATGAAAAATCACCAGTGGGAGCTCGTGTTCCTTTTATCTTTGTTCATATAGCTGTGACTTATCTCTGCAATATACTGTTAAAACAGTCAGTCTGTAGCAGGCTGCTGAGCCGTTTGCTGCCTTTCTCCTTGTTCTCTCTGACAGGCTCAAATGACACAGATGTGACACTCAATACTTTATAGACCTTGAATTAACCTCAAGCCATTCAGTTTTATCTCAATTAAAGCAGTTATTTACAGATTTTAGTCCATGTAATAAAAAAGGACAACATTTATATTACTTTTGCCCATCTAACTAAACCATTCAAATTACTAAACCATATAAATTACTCTAAAGCTGGGTGTAAAACCAGGGAAGAGGATTAGGGCCAGTGGGAAAAAAAAAAATGTTAACTGATGTTTAAATTTTATTTCAGTTTAGTATGGGAAAAAAGTCAGAATTCTGACTTTTTTCTCAGAATTCTGACTAAATTCTGACAATAAAAAAAAGTCAGAATTCTGAGATTAAAGTCAGAATTCTGAGATTAAAGTCGGAATTCTGAGATTAAAGTCGGAATTCTGAGATTAAAGTCGGAATTCTGAGAAAAAAGTCGGAATTCTGAGATTAAAGTCGGAATTCTGAGATTAAAGTCGGAATTTTGAGCTTAAAGTCGGAATTCTGAGAAAAAAGTCAGAATTCTGACTTTAATATCAGAATTCTAACTGAATTCTGACAATAAAAAAAGTCAGAATTCTGAGATTAACGTCAGAATTATGAGAAAAAAGTCAGAATTCTGAGATTAAAGTCATAATTCTGAGATTAAAGTCAGAATTCTGACTTTTTTCCCATGTTAAACTGAAATAAAATTTAAAAATCCGTTAACTTTTTTTTTTTTTTTTTCCAGTGGCCCTAATCCTCTTCCATATAAAACTGCCAAAATTGTCAAATTAAAAGTATTTTGCTTTACCTGTTGAACCACATTTTAATTAGTCAGATTAGGGGAGGTGGTTTAAACCATCTTTTAATATATTTGCCATATTAGAAAATTATCATACAGTTAGTAAATGTAAAACATTCTTGATTTTTCAGCAATAGATATATAATGTCAGTTTTTCTTCAGTAATGCTTGATGTATTTAGCCTATTTCAATAAATAAATTAAGAGCAGGTTTTGGTGCACAAGACTCAGCATTTAGGTTAAGGTTTTTATTGTTAGATAGGTCTGGATATAAATACTGTTAAATCAAAGAGAAAGTTATTATTATTTTTTTTTTTACTAATTAACGCTAAATTCATTAAATCAGCACGAACGTATTAGTTTTAGGTATAGATAATGATCCATTGATTATTCCTTGCTGACCGGACTTTTCCTTTAAATCCTACTGAGCATCTTTGGAAGGAGCTGAAACATGCCATCTAGGAAGGCAGCTTTTAAACCTGAGACAACTGGAGCAGTTTGCTGATAAGGAGAGGAGCGATATACCTGCTGAGAGCTGAAGTCTCACTGACAGTTACAGGAATTGCAGTGATTGCCTCAAAGGTAGCGCGGCAAAATATTAAAGTAAAGGAACCATCAGATTTTTCCAAGCCTGCTTCATGAGTTTATGTTTTAAAATAATTTCCATTTAAGCATTGTTGAAAAGAGATGCCTAGGTTACATTTGTTTATTTTGATAGATTTTTTTCTTTGTTATTCCTTTTGTCTGATTCAAGTTTTTCATTTTTCTAATCTTGTAAAGTTAGGTTGTAAAGTAAGGTTAGCTGGTGTTCTGTGTTGTCTTCCATTTTTATTCCACCTGATCATTTAAATTTTAAGGCCTTTTTAACAAAATCTTGTAAAGTTAGCTTGTAACTTTAACTTGTGTGTTAACTAATGTTCCTTTTTTTAAACTTGGCAACTGAAAAAAGGGAGAGACCTTCAATTTTGCACACGTTCAACATTTTAGGCCCTTTTTGTAGTTTATTTATTGTGAATGCTTGAGAATCACTCTATTCGCATTTGAAAACATGAGTCGGTGAAAACCTTTCACACCTTTACGATTTAGCCAGCATATGCCTGATGTACGAAAAATCCTGCAAAATACGCTGGCATACTTTGGATAAGTTATGGGTCAGTTTTGTTTAAGTTATGAGATATATGAAAAACACTGAAGCACGCTGGCACATGTCGACATACAGCAAGTACGTTGAGTATGCCAGCGTACGCTCAGACATGGGCCATAAATCACTGGTAAGTTATTTATCTGTTATGTGTAAGTTTCTCATAAGTTATGGTGTCTATTTCATCCAAAGCATATGAGTAACTTGCACATAACTGATGCATGACTTCTCTCCAACACATATCAACGTATCTAAAGTGTTCCAGACGAGCGCTGAACGTGTTTCTAACTTCCAGCTACTGTATAATATCGTATTGGCAGCATTTTGGTATAAAATGGGTTCACAGGAGGGAACAGTCAGTTCTCCTCCAGACTTCATCTCCATCATAGGGTGAGCGTGAATGATCGTCCCTGCGTTCACACCCACAAACTTTCTAGCAGACATGACACTGAATCTGCTGCGACAGCAAACCTTCTTTCTTCTTTTTATTTATTTATTCTTTTGTTTGGTTGTCAGTAAACAGCCGCTAGGTTAATACCGCAATCAAAGAAATGTTTTTATACAGGCTGGGCGCCTCCGGGCGCATTGCTGTCGACCCCAGGATACTTAGCCTCGTGAGACCATCCTGATCTCGCGAGCTTTCAAGATTTCACTCGCAGATCAGTCTGGAGACTCTCCGTT